TATCAGAATTGGGTTGCTGTAGTTTTCCATTGCTTTAGTCACAGGGCATTGTAGTACTAAGAAACATCCTAAAGAATCTCCTGTATTCCAGACATACTCTTCTTTACCTCCATTATGTAGTATCAATCCAATTTCCTCTTGGTAATCAGGATCTATCACACCAAGACAGTACAGTAATGCCCTTCTTTGTCTGTTGATCCAGGGGCATGAGGAAGCCAAAATGGCTGCGTGGCATTCTTAACTTGCAGTTTAATGCAATGAGTATTGTATGTCAGGTGGGAGTGATCCTCCCTTTGGGATTAAAAGTTCCAGACCCGCAGAGCTTAGAGTAGCAGGGATAGGAAGCAAAAATTTCTTCAGTGGGTCATGAGGGGTAATATTGAGTGGACCACTCCTGTTTCCACTCCTTGGTTCCTGGATCCGGGAATCCTGGCTATTAGAGAAACAGCACCATGTATTGGACATTGGTTTAGAGCATAAACAGCCTCCTGGAGAACACTGAGGTCTTTTATGTGGCACTTAAGCTGTGATTCAGCAGCCCTGAACTCATCTCACTCGTTCACCACTTTGTCTAGGGTAAGTAGAACCAACCAACCAGCTTTCTTATGCTCTTCATGCTGACACAATTGCAGAAAAGTATCAAATGTGCAATCACCCAGAGCCTCACTTGTCAAAAATACTTGATCTATTGATAGTGCTATTTTGCATATTAATGTTGCCACCTTGTGCCATGGATTAGCAAGGCCCTCTTTACTAATGGAGGCAGAGTCACCAGTGCCTTAACAATTAATCAAATTGGAGAACCAAAACAGAATTGGTGAGAACTAATTCAGGAAACCCATCCTTATAATTTTGTCTCTTTACCCCGCTGCTGGTACCAGATGTATTAGGCTGGGTTCTCTAGAGAACCAAAACCAGTACAACGAGAGAGGGAGAGAGACAGAGAGAGAAAGAAATTTGGGAAAATGCCTCACACACTTACAGAAGTTGGAAAGTCCCAAGTTTCTGGAAGCTTTTCCTCACTTATGCAGCTGCAGGGGCTGACGAGCTCAAGGTTGGCAGGCAGTATACTGGCTGTTGATTCTGACGGATGATGAATCTAAGATCACCAGGCCGAATTGCTCGCTTACAGACAGCTGTAGGCAGCACAACAGGATCTAGAGCCACAGAAGAGTCCCTTTCCCCCACCCCCCAAGATGTATGTGTCTCTCTTTCTCTCTCTCTCTTTCTCTCTCTCTCTCTCTCTCTCTCTCT